AAAGGTACAGACAAATCTGGTTCTGCAGATGCTTTTGGTTTTCACACCGATTTTCATATGGGGGGCATGTACTGTGGTCATAGCTTAAAGAAAAATAACTTGAGCATAACATTGTGTTTCTCATCTTCATTCCCAATTTTTCATCAGAAATGCACAAGGACAAGCAAGATAAAGTTGGATCGCTGGGGAAGCTGAAAGCATGACTCTCATTGCTACAATCTCTTCTATATCCTCCCTTTTTCTTGCTTGTTCCCTTCATTCTGTCCAAAACACCAGCCCGTAGAAGCATTGTAATTCCTCAGCTGACAGGCTGTGATGACAAGCCTGGCAAAATGGTACAAACAGGAAAAAAAACCCAGCAACCTTAAATCAAATACGAATTAACCCTTGTAAACAAAGCACATCTCAAAATTCTCACTTTCATGCTGCCAATACGCATTTTTTAAATTGTTAAAGAGATACTCAAGTGTTTACCAAAAAAGACTTTGAGACCACTTCTAGCAAGCAGCAGAAAGATGTGGAAGGGTCCAATTTCACCAGCCAACAATCTACCAAAATACTCCCAGAGACATTTGAATCTGAACACCTCCATCAATGCTTTGGCACTTCCGAGTAACAGCCATCCCAGTGATAACTCACCCTTATATTCTACCTCATATAGCTAACACAGAAAAAAATACTGCAGAAAGTATTACTATTTTGTAACTTTTCACTTTCAAAGACAGTTGAGTAGTTAATGGAAAGAAATACTGTCCTATCCTCTTTCTCACTAGGATTTTGTTGCAATCTCACGTTCTTCAAACAGGAAGTTCCAAGGCATTTCTAAAGCCTCTTTTAAATCTATAATAAAAGTCGTTTGTTTTTGTGGGGTTTTTTTGTAAAAAAATGACTTAGGCATAGGACTTCTAGATGCAGGTGTGAGACAAGGGTTGATCAATGATCATATGCTGGTTACTCAATTTAGAAAGCTTTAGGAATGTCACCACACCAGTGTGGTCTGGCCTCACCAGTTTTTCCATTTTGGAGATAGTAGGAAGACAACCCATCACTAGTGTTTTCCTGCTCTTCCCAGAGCAATAAGGAATTACGACTGACGTTTGCATCAGAGATCTGGCAGGAAAAAGGTTCTTTGCATTACAAGTTCTGCCTTGAAATACATGTTTTTAGTCTTCTGGTTTTAAACTGGAAACCCTGACAGATCTTTAACTGCAGCAATTCCAAATAACATCAGTGTAATTTCCCTTGAAAGAAATTGCTCCGTTTTCTTCTCCAGTTTCGAGGTTAAAACCCTTCATTGCTGATGCTGCTGTCAATCTTATCTAGTGACCTATTTACCCAAAGCACAGAACTACAGAACAGAATTTTATGACAAGTACAGAGCAGGCTTTGACACTAATAATACTCAAGATTTTGTGGACTTGGATTGTTTTTTGGGGCTTGGTCAGAAAGGCCACCTTTCTTTCATGTAAGAAGTCAACAATCCACGTCAGAGGTTTTGCAAATGAATTAAGCGATTAAGGGAAAGAAGCTATATAAAAATGATAAAAGGTGACTAATGTAACCATGCACTGTTACATTAAGGAATAAGAAAGAGACCTTTAACACATTGCTCTGAACACTTAGGAAATAAAAAATACTGTCAGGATAGCTACATTCTTTGACTTTCAAAGAATCAGTGCTGTCTGCAATGCGCACCCGACCTTTAAGAGAGAGAGGAAAAAACCTCAAACCGAACAAAGGAATTTCCAGTTATCTGTAATGGAAGCTCAAGGTCTGTATCTCGTGGTATGGGTATGAACAGATATTAACACAATGCAGAACCAGGCAGCCCCACAGGGAGTCTGCTCCCCCACCCCCAGCAAGTTTTGAAAAGGCGAGAACCTGAAATCCATTGGGAAGATGCTTGGTGTAGCTGCTCCAGTTAAAATACACAGCCTGTACAACTTATCAGGATTCTTCTAGTAAAGACAATGGCAAGGAGCAGATAGCACATGTAGGAAGCCACCACATACAAAGCACATCTGAAAACACTGAGAGACTACTGGGGATAAAAGTTGAGGTAACTGGCAACCTAAAGCCATAAGGGTCACAAAATCCACATCATTGTGAAAGCTGGCCACTCAATTACGCTTGGATAGTACTGTACAGGCTGGGTAGCTGTGTTATGGTTGGGGTTTTTTTTGGTTGGTTAGGGTTTTTTTGGTGGGGTTTGGGCAAGGTTTGTTGTTTGGTTGCTTTTTTAAATACAAATGCTGCACTTCCTGAGCTTCCCCCATCCCTTGCTGGTGTTGCTAGTGGTTTGGACAGCGTTTATTTTGTTCCAGTGGGTTGCAGTGGAATGCAATTCTTCCCCTGCATCGGCCCAGCTTTACTTGGTGTTTTCACTGTAAGACAGATACCACATTCTCTGTGTGACTACAGAACAGCAGAGTTTCCAGTGCAACAGTGAGAACATTCAAATATCAAGCTCTACGTTTTCAGATACCTAATTTACTTAATAAAGAGACAAAAAGCATCCATGAACATACAGCTTTTCTGAATACATTTGTTGCCATGAAGTATATAAAAAGGCATCCTAAACATGCAACTATTACGAATAATATCCTATGCTCCATCACTTTGTATGGCCATCCCACCATACTTCTCAAATGTTTTTAGCTCTTAAAAACCTATTTTTTCAAAATAATATCAGTTTAGAAAGCACCATTTGCCAGCAGATATTAGCACACTCAAGTCTGTTGAATTCACAGGGCTTTTATCATCTTGTTGTTTACAAATTTTACTGTCATTCATCATTGCAAATCATCAGCTGTACTTGTGGCTGAACAAAACGCTGACTCAGAAGGCAGAGATGAGTGCAAATGCATTAATCGGAGATCATGATCTTTACTACCAGGAATGCTATGCTCTCAGACACCTATAATTAGACATATCTAGTATCTACAATCTTCTCAGTTATTCAAAATATTATGGGGACTGCTAGGTGTGGGTGGGAATGGGGTAAATAAAACATACAAGGCAAAAATACAGGCAATATAAAGTATCCTTAGAATTAGGCTACAGAAATACATTTCTGTTCTAGTATCTCTGAAAAATGCATACATAGATTTCTGCAGAGCACACTGGCAGCTTAAACAGACTTGGTGTGTGAGCAGTATGAAATCCCTGGGTCCTCCCCAGTTTGTGGTGATAGAGGGAATTAGAGGGCAGGACAGATTAATTGCCAGGAAAGTTGTGTTGTTTTTTTTTTTTTTCCAGTCTTTCAACTTAGTAACCATTACCTTTTAGGAAAAGGGGAAGAGAAAAATGGTTAGTCTGAGATTTTTCAAGACTATGTAGTGCTTTTAGCCATGCTCTCGACAAAAAGGAACAGCAGGCGTGACTACATCCCCTCCAATAGCTTCATGAATCTAAAGCATAAGCCACAACCACACATTTCGTGACCCACGTATAGTTTCTTTTCTGTATAAAATGCATACTTTTTATTTGGTCAAGTTAAGTAGCTGAGTTCCAACGGGGTTTCAGAGCACCCTTAAGGATCAAATCCTGACATCATTTTTCAGTACCAGAACAACCACCACCATCACAAATTAACCAATACTTTCAGGATTATCAGAATTTTAAATAAGAGTATATCTGCATTTGAAAAATCTTTAAAGCAACTTCTAATATTCAGAAGGAAAGACGTTTTAGAAGTTCAGGGCTGAAACAAGAACACTAGCAATACTTGCTGGATGTTGACTAATTTGCAGAAACAAGCCTCTGAATGAAGACAGCCAGCAAGATGCTGCTTTAGGTAGTATGTAAAATAAAGTGAATGCCACCCATTGTCTATTTAGAGCTTAAAACACTTGTTCTAAAACTTTAAGCTCCAAATGCAACACACACAATCAGAGCAGAAAATTAAGTAGTGGGCAGACAGAATCTTTTCTGCCTACCCTGAATAATAACCACACTGCTTCTGCTGCAGCTGTCAGAGACCATCCCTTGGGCATGCCATTAGAAAGCACACAGCAAGGCATAGGTTCAAAGTCATGAGACTGATGTTACAGACAGGCTGGAGAGACTTCACTCGGTTTCCACAAGACAAACTGCGCTCTGCACAAAACAGCACAGAAAAGTCAGAGACTTTCAGATTTCCTGGTGTGAGCCAACAGCATTGAGGAAAAGAAAACAAATGGCAGAACACTGTAAGCTCATCTCAAGCATTGGTGACAAAGTTCTTGTCCCTGTGGTTTAATGATTCAAGCTTGACTTAAAAGCAGCTTGAGACAGTCCAAGACCCATGAAGTTAGTGGGTACGCAGCACTAAGGAGACCAGGCAATAATAACCACACAATCAATCAAATGCTTACAGACACTCCTGGCTAATTCCTTTACACCTTACTGAAACCCAAATACAGACACAAAGTAAAATACAAAATAATTAATCCCCTACCTCCAAAGCTATCCCTACTTACGCAACTTGTATTATGAACACTTTACTTTTTATACCATTCTTATGCTCAACTTTTGAGCTTTTTACCCACCCCTCAACTGCCACCATTTATCATTCTTGCTTTTTAACTCATCCTTTACCCTCATGCCCTCAGTATGATTCCTCTCCTTGCATTTTCAAGACTTGTTGCCTTTCCCTGAGTATTTTGCCTTAAGTACATTCTCATTATCTCATGTTTTCCTTTCCATTCATTAGCCTGCTATTGCCTCCGCTCCATTTTAAGCGCTCTCATTAAAACCTTTACAGACCAGCTTCAAAAGCCAGTTCCCAAATCACAACATACAGATCAAAACAGTTCTGTTTTATTTATAAATGCTCTGTACCATCACCAAATATTATATCAGATTGTGATTATTCACAGGAAGGCATGGAATATTGTTTCAAACATTTCTTTAAACAGAAATAACTATTCCTGTTCCTGGAAACAGGGGCTTGCAATTTACTTATAAGAAAAGTCTCCCTGGTTTTCTATTTAGAGTGGAACTAGGAAAGCCAGGCCTACCTCTGCAAGCTGCCCCAAAGAGTAGAGGGTGAGTTTCTTCGGGTCTGTGTAGAGAATCTCTCCAAGCTCCTGATAAGGCTTCCCAGTGGGGGTGAAGAGTCCCTGAGTGAATTGCTCTTGCCTCCTACGGTAGTTTTCCCAGAACACTTGTTCTCTTGGAGGTTCACTGCTTCGGTAAATTGTTTTGCTTCTAGCCAAGACCTTTCCTTCCTTTTGAGCAAAGCCAGGCAAAGCCTGAATGCGCACAAAATCTCGAGGATTCAACACTTCAGTGTCTGCCAGCTCCTCGATTCTGCTGTTCTTAGGTGGATCTGGTACCACAGCTGCCTTGAGTCTGCCGCTCCTACGTGCGTTTGCTACCACAGGTGCCTCAACTCTGCAGTTTTTAGATGCATCTGGTACTAGCATTGTGCCAGAGCGGGAACCTTGGTGTCTTTACTCCCCAAGTTATTAAAAACTCTAGTTTCCCAGTCATGAAGACGCACACTTGCTGCCCAAACTCTGAAACAAGTCTTTTTAATTTTCTAAAGGGTAGCCCGGCAGAAGAATCTGCTGCTAACACACACTACGTGAGGTCTCATTACCCTCAGCAGCCCCTCAAACAATAGAAATCAATCCTGAGGGGCCAGGACACCTAAAACCTAACCAAGTCTCCTGGGGCACACCCAGAGCCAGAGCCCCTCCCTCTGAAGGGTTTCGTTACAAATAAAAACTTCCTTTATACCTATTTTTAACAACAGCACGGCCTCCCCTGCCCGCAGTCCTCACGCTGAGGGCCTCCCACCTCCCGAACTCAGGGGTCCG